ATGCAAATGTGCTGCAATCCAGCGCAAGTCAAAGCAATGCTCAGCACTGCGATGCGAAGCAATGTACAGCAAGCCAATGCACTGCAAAGCAAACCTAAGCGAAGCCAAGCAAAGCAGAGGACATCAATTCGATGCCCCGGCCATGCCAAGGACAATGTAAACGCCATGTGATGGCACATGCCAATCTGAGCTACGTTCTGAGATGTCCCAGGCGCTTCCGAGGGGGCACTTGCTGAGAAGGACGTTCCCCGTCTTCGGCACCGGCTGCCGAGTGAGAGGCGTAGCGGAAGTACAAGCAAACGAGCAGAGCGGCGAGAGCGCTCGGCAATCCAAGACTGGAACGCCGTGCAAACACAAATGCACATCTGAAGCGGATCTCGAAAACACAGACGTCCTCAAAAAGGGAACAGGCGCACTTGTACACGCGCACCTCCTCCTCCTCCTCCTCCTCCTCCTCCTCCTCCTCCTCCTCCTCCTCTCCTCCTCCTCCTCCTCCTCCTGTTCCTCCTCCTCCTACTCCCCCTCCTCCTCCTCCTCCTTCTCCTCCTCCTCCTCCTCCTCCTGCTCCTCCTCCTCCTCCTCCTCATCGTCCCCCTCCTGATGCTCCTTCTCCCATTCCCCCCTCTACTCCCCCGCCATGCCTCCTTCACATGGAGGACGCGTGTATGAGGGCAGGGTGGACGGGGTCGGAGGATCGCACCGCATTGCCGATACATCGGCCATGCACCGGCGACGTCGGGATGGAGAAAATCGGGCCCCGGATCGAGCAGCATCGGCGATGCGGTGCGATTCTCCGATTCCACCCACTCGGGTCCCTGTGCGGCCTGGAAGTCCCCCCTTCCTGAGCGAGGCGGGGATTTATCCATCCACCTGCCTGGGGACCGACGTCCTGGGGACCCACCAGCAAACGGCGGATGTGGCTACAGTTTGGCCCCTGCGGGCCCGAACCCATCCGTATCCAGCGCGAGGCCCGAGAAATCGATCCTCCTCCGCGGAGGGGGAGGAGGAGGAGGAGGAGGAGGAGGAGGAGGAGGAGGAGGAGGAGGAGGAGGAGGAGGAGGAGGGCGAGGAGGAGGAGGAGGGGGAGGCCTCCCGCTGGAGGGTGCCCCCCCACAGCCCAGCTCTTGGCTGGCCGCCGGCCGCCCCTCACCGAGGCCCGCCGCTGCAGCGAGAGGGCCTCAAATCCTGGCGCCGAGCGCTTGCACAGCGGGCGACTTGTCCTCGCTTCGGGCCCCCCGGGCCCTGACTTACCAGCCTCGATCGTATCCCTATCCCTACGATCGACACGCCACAAGGCGATGACAATCTTAGGGATTCGCCCTCAAAAATAAGGGAATCCCTAAGATTGGCATCGTGATGAGGAGGTGCCCAGCATAGGGATAGGGATATGTTCCAGGCTGGTAACTCACAGATCGGTGCGGCTCGAAAGCGGCGCAGGAAGACGGAGGTCTTTCGGGCCGGGCAAAAGGGGGGGGGGATAGCAAAGGGGGGGGTTTGAGAATCGGCTCGCGCAGCTGCTTTCTGCGGCGCCTCCCGGCGCGAGAGGGCGGCCATGCATCGAGGAGTGGGCCCGGCGGCGGGGCCGAAACCAGCTGCATGCAGCAGATTTCGTAATCCACCCTTTCCCTATCCCCCCCTTTCGTCCGGCCCGAGTCTTTCTTGCAGATGTGTCAACCCGAAACCACCCGCACGACTAGGGATAACCCGAAAAACAGGATACCTAACTGAGCCCCGAGTTCATGGTGTTACCAAGACACGGGGCTGCATTAGAAGAAGAATAAGAAGAGGAGGAAGAAGAATAAGAGGAATAAGAAGAAGAAGAAGAAGACAAGGGGCTGTATTAGAAGACGAATAAGAAGAACAGGAATAATAAACAAAAAGGCGCACAGAAAAACATAAGCTTGTGGCGCTCGGCGCGGAATTCTTGGATCTGCGCTGGACCCCCATCCCCGGGGCGCGACGCGCGCCAAGGGCGGCGCCTGGGGGGGCCGGAGCGGAGCGCGGATCCGAGGCATCCGCGCGGAGCGCCAAAAGTTTATGTGTGTTATGGCGTCTGTGTTCCTTCTTTTTAATATAGTTTTTTTTGTTTTAAAATAATGCTTAATGTATGAAAAACTGTATATGCGTAAACTCATTATTGTCCTTCTTAATCAACCCTTTATTTTTAATACATGGTCCGCACGCGGAACATGTATTAAAACCAGCGCTGTACGCTGATTGACCCGCGGGCGTGTCGCGGGCGAGTCGCGGGCGGGTCGCAGGCTGGGTCGCGGGTGGGTTGAGGGTGCGTCGCGGGTGGATCGCGGGTGGGTCGGGGATGGGTCGCGGGTGAGCCGTGGGCCGGGTCGCGGGCGGGACGACCACGACAAACAGCAAACAACGAACAACACCCAACACACAACACACAACAAACATCAAACACTCAACCTTCAACAATCAACAACAACCAACAACACCACCACCACCACTCACAACACCAACAACAAAAACGTCACCAACAACAACAACTACAACAACATCAACAACAACTACCATCAATTTAAGACTGTTCGCTCTTATCTGCTCGAATGCCTGTTAACGCGTATGTCCCAAACCCTCGATTCCCGCTCTCTTCGTCTTCGATCGTACCCAAACCTCTTTTGGTCTCGATCGGCGACAACCCGACCACAACAAGTACCGACCACGACGACGTCGCCGACGCCGACGACGGCGACGACGAGCGAAAGCGAGAGAGAGAGAGAGAGAGAACGACAGCAGGGCCACGAAGGGCACAAAGTAGGCCACGAAGGGCGACAGCGGGGACACGAAGGGAATGCGTATGGGGCCACGAAGAGCGCGAACGAGCGGGGCCACGAAAGGCAGATAATGCGGGGCCACAGAAGGCAACGGCGGGGCCACTGAGGGTAGCAACTGGGCCACGTAGGACAGCGAGGGGGCCACAAGGGGCGACAGCGGGGCCACGAAGGGCATGCACATGGGGCCACGACGGGCGCGAACGGGCGGGTGCCACGAAGGGAATACGTATATTGGGCCGCGGAGGGCAAGGACGGGGCCACTGAGGGCAGCAACGGGGCCACGCAGGGCATGCATATGGGGCCACGAAGGGCGACAGCGGGACAACGAAGGGCATGCATATGGGGCCACGACGGGCGCGAACGAGCGGGGGCCACGAAGGGCATACAGATATGGGGCCACGAAGGGCAGCGTGGGGGCCACGAAGGGCTGCAACGGGGCCACGAAGGGCAGCGAGGGGGCCACGAAGGGCTGCAACGGGGCCACGCAGGGCAGCGAGATCCCGATTCCTAAGTAATCTGTGACGGAGTCCCAAGCGTGAGGACGACTCCTGGGTGCCTGAGTGTCGGGAGCGCGGCGCTTGAGTAAATTGCGGGAAATTCGAACGCAAGGGCGCTATTCGTAAGTAAATTGCAAGCGAGTCTCCAGCGAGAGCGCGACTCCAGAGCGCTGAGAGAACTATTCCTGAATAAATTGAAAAGATTTCCCACAGAACGAGAGCGTGTTGCCTAGATAAAATGCGAGGAAATCTCGGGCGGGGAGCGGGGGTCCTGGCTAAAGTGTGAGGAAGTCTCAGGCGGGAGCCGTTGCTGTTGTAACCCGATGGTCAACAACACAATTTGAGGAGGAAGGCCCCCCTTGATTGTTTGAATATAAAAAGCAGGGTGCGAGCGCATAGAGGGGCACCTCAATTGAAAAAGGACACTGTGCACCGGAGGGGGGGATCAACAATCAGTATTCTTCAGTGGTGAGAGCTCAGCAGCAACAAGACCAACACCAACATCAACACCACCACCACCACCAACAACAACAACCACAACGACAACAACAACAACAATAACAAACATAACTACAACAGCCATAAAAAAACAACAGCAACAATCCGCACCGCGGGCGCCCACTTCAGCCACGCACCCAGGAGAAGTGAGTGACCGTTGGGCCTTCTTCACTCCGCTGCGTGACCCGAGGCCCTCGTGCTGCCCCCTCCGCCGGCGGGGTGGCCGCGCACGCACCTCGAGCCCGCCTCCGAAAAGGGCCTGCCGGCGCAGGCCCGCCTGCGGGCCGAGGGCGAGGTGCCGCCCGCTCGCCGCCGCCCTCCCAGGTCGATGCGGGCTCGAGCATGGCGCAGGAAGAGGGGGCCCAGGGTGCTGGTCGTTCCGTGCGTGGCTGAAGCGCGCTGAAAAGCTGAAGTGGGTGCGTGGCTGAAGTGGGCTTCCGCGGTGCGGATTATTGTCGTTGTTGTTGCTGCTGCTGCTGAAGTCTCACTTCTGAGGAATAGTTATCGTCGATCACCCCATCACCGGCGCATGCGGTTTTTCTCCATCAAAGTGTGCCCCTCGACGCTCGCACCCTGTTTTGTGACACGGAAAGTCTTGGTGCTCAAACTATGCCCTTGGCCCCCCGGATTACAACAACAACAACAACAACAACAACAACAACAACAACAACGGCTCCCGCTTGAGACTTCTTCCAAATTTACTCAGGACCCCCGCTCCCGCTTGAGACGTCCTCACAATTTAGTCAGGATTGGTGTTCCCGCTTGTGGGCCCCTTGCAATTTAGTCGGGACCCCCGCTCCCACCTCAGGAACGGCGCTCCCGCTTGAGATTTCCTTGCAATTGAATCAAAACTTCCTCGCAATTTAATCAAGACCCCCGCTGCCGCCAAATAATACTTCACATTTTATGTTTGAATTGCGGGCTCGCGGGCGATTTCCATGCAAGTTATATTCGGAAATCGTGATTTCGATGCAAAGGAAACGCGCTGCGCCAAGGACGCCGTCACAATTTGCTTAGGAATCGCGCTCTCGCCATACTCAGTTAGGCGTCCCGCTTGAATGTCCCACCCGCCCGACCCGCGGGTCACGGGTTGCCCGCCTGTCGTGGGCTCCCGCCCGGGACTTCTTTCAGGAACGGCGCTTTCGCCTAGGACTTCCTCGAACGTTCACGTTCTTACCTTCCTGCTCTTCCTACTTCTCCCTCGTCCCTCCTCCCTCCTCTCATCCCATCTCTCTCCCTCCTCCCTTCCCTCATCCTTATGCCTCTCTGCCCAATCCCCTCTCCCTCCTCCCTTCTCCCTCCCCTCCCCTGCCTCCTCCAACTCTTTCTCTCTCTCTCTCTCTGTCTCTCTCCCCTCTCTCCCTCTCTCTCTACCTCTCTTGTCTGTCTCTCTCTCTCTCTCTCTTTCTGTCTCTCCCTCTCTCTCTCTCTCGCTCTCTTTCTCTGTCCCCTTCTCTTTTTTTTTTCTCTCTCTCTCTCTCTCTCTGCCCCTAATCAACCGCCGCCCTCGTCGCTCCTTCTCTCCTGGCGTTTTCCCGTTTCCTTCGTCCCTCTCCCCCCCTTCCTCCCACTGCCCCTCGTTCTTCCCCTCCTCTTTTTGCAGGGCCCACACCAATTCCAATGGCGGGCACATCTACGCCCACGTCTAAGCCCGTTCAGGTTTGCCCGCCCGTCTAAGCCCGCCGCCCCCCGCAAAGAGAAAGAATCCCCCCAAAGGGGGTGTGATTGAAGACATAGAGGGCGGGTATCGAGGCTGTGTGGATCTCGTTTTGAATGACACACGGGCAAGTAAGAGCGAACAGTAGTATAATGATTGTTGTGTTTTGTTGTTGTTATTGAAGTCTCATTACTGAACAGTCATTGTTGATGTTCCCCGCCTTTTCGAGGGCACGCGTTGCTCCAGCATTTGAAGTGCCATTCCCGGGGCTCGCACCCTGTCGTTTACATGGGGAAAGCTGGAAGTCACCACCCTGAGCCCTGGCCGCCGAGTTAAAACAAACGGCTCCCGCCGAATGCTTCCTCACAGTGTAAATCAGCATCGCGCTCTCGCTCGGGATGTCCTTACAATGTGTGCAGGAATGGCGCTTTCGCGTGGGACTTCCTTGCAATTCATTCAGGCGCCGCGCCCTCGACATCCAGGACTCACGCTCTCGCACAAGCCTTGTTATCACGGTTTCCTTGGGCATCGTGCTATCGCTCGAGATCTCCTCGCGATTCATGCAGCACTCACGCTTCAGCAGCCCGCCTGCTCGACCTGACCGCTTGGGCCCGCCTTCCCGCCTGGAGCTGAACCCAAATTGTGCTCGCCAGATGTGGTCTTCGACCCCGCGTGATTCAGCCTCTGGAGCAGGTTCGCGAACAATTTGTAGCCGATGGGCGAGATGCTGATGGGACGGTAGTTTTCGCATTCTGCATGGGCGCCTTTGTTGAACTACGTCGGCACCCTCGCATGCCTCCAAATTCCTGGTATCTTACCTTGTCTCCAGACGTCAGTCAAAATGTGCCCGATGGCTCGGGGAACCTCCCGCGCCGTTCGCCGCTCTTTTCCAAAATTCGGGGGGCAGCCCGTCAAGGCCATAAGCGCGTCCAAGCTTCAATTTCGCAGCCGCGGCCTTCACCTCCTCCGCTGTGATATCGCCCATCATGGAGATGGGCAAGTCGTTGTCGGCAATGAGGGCGGCAGCTGGCGGTGCCACTGACGTGAATCTCACTGCCCACTGCACCATCTCAAAATAGCCGGCCAGAATCTCAGCGCGCTGGTCCGTGTCCACCATGCCAATGCTGACGTCGCGAAGCCTGCCCTGGGTGCGGACAGGGCCTTCAGGGAGCCTCCGAATATGACTCCAATGAGCAGATTCCGTGACCAACTCGATCCAAGCGGCATTGACCTTGGCAGCCACAGCGTGGATTTTCTTCAACAAGCGCTCGATCAGCCCCAGCGTTCCAGCACTCGTCCAAGGCCTTGTGGTCGGTCTCGGAGCGAGTGGCAACGTGCGTTCTGCAACGTGATGAAAGCCGTCCACGATACGACTCCACCCAAGTCGACATCCCCGCAACTGCTTTGTCTTCGAAGACCTCCAAAAAATTCAGACTGTCCGCGTTGAAATAAAAAACGGCGTGTGGGTCGGAGAGGGATGTGGCATCACACACACACACACACGCACGCACGCACGCACGCACACACACACACGCACACACACACATACACACACACACACACACACACACACACACACACACACACACACACGCACACGCACACACACATACACACACAAATGAATACACACAAATAAGAAGGATTCCCCATATTCTCCCCTATTTTCTTGGTTTTCGTCTTCCCCCCCACTTCCCACATTTTCCCATATTTTCGAAGGAATCGAAGATTCATCGTGTCTGTGTGTTTTTTCTCCTCCTGACTTTCGCCCTCCGAGGTGGGGGCGAGCACGGGCCCCGGCGGAGCGACTCGGCGGACGGTGCCTGGCGGAGACCTGGCCACCCTCGCCGCCGGCTCCGGCTGTCGCGGAGGTCCCAGTGTCCCTCGTGCCTGCTGCCTCCCTCCCCCAGCCCTGCCACACCGTTCGTCCCCCCTCTCGTCCATACTCCCCTACTTCCGTCCGTCCGCTCATCATTCTCCGATCGTCCCTCTATCCGTGCCTCCCGCTGTCATTGAACCCTCCGGCCTCCGTCTGAATATGTCCTCCTTCTCCTGATCCTCCTCCGTTTCCTCCTCCTCCGCCTTTTCTTCCTCCTCCTCCTCCTGCTCCTGCTCCGCCTCCTCTCCCATTCCAGCCCCGTCGCCCCCCTCCCGCAGGCAGGCGGACCTTCATGCTGCCAACGTTCGAGCCACCAGGGGAGCCGAGGTCGAAAGTGGTGTAGTAGAAGCGGAAGAACGGCATGCCGAGGATCAGCATTTTGCCCTCGCTGGGAAGCGGACCCTCTGGCGGCCCAGATCCATCGACGATTCTCCTCGTCCACGGTATGTGTTTTTGGCATTCCTTCCTGATCCTGGTTCTTGTTGTCCAGTCCCCCTGCTCGCCTATACGTCCTCCGTCCCACCCTCGATCGATCCGCCCCCCTTTCTGCGCCCCATGCGAGGCAGGGGCCTTCATGCGCGCGCGAGAGGCCCGTTTGGTAGCAATGTATGAAAATGTTGAAGTTTCCATGACCTTAAAAAGAATTTGCAGTTGAGCGCGGGCTAAAAAATTTGGTGAACCTTCATGTTGCGAACCCGTGAATTCTGGTAAGATATATAGAGAGAGAGAGAGAGAGAAATAATAGTTATAACTAGATATACACATAAATTTATACATACGTACATCGTGAAGTTCGATGTTGAAATCCCTGCGGAACCAGAAAGGGTGTTTGAAGGAGGTTGGCATGCGTGCGCGACAACGCGTGCGTGCGCACTTCGCCCACATTTGTTGCGAGGGGTTCTTGATAACTGATGACTTGTGATGAGCGAATCCGCGCGCAAAATATGTCCTGCAGAGGATGAGGAGGGTTGCAGGTAACGACCTGCCTGGGATGGCATGAGTTCATATCTCAGATGGACGACGGGGCAAAACCGTATGAAAATTGCAACACGAAAAAGGGAGTCGTGAATTCCGGGGGGGAGATCCCACTATACACGTCGTTCATTCCTAATCGTGCTCGTTTCTAGTTGTGCTCGTTTCTACTTGTTCCTGATCCCCGGTGGCCAGGAAGAGGCCCGGGATAGAATACATGGAGATGACAGGATCTGGGCCCCCCAACAAAAGTCGAAGGACCCTCGACGAACTCAAAACGAGCAGCGTGTACTTTTAGAACGAAGAACCTACGTGGGCGGCGACGCGGCGCCGAAAGGGCGGCGACGGTGGCAGCGTGGCCGCCAGACCGGCAGACGGTCCCCAACGACGGGGCGGCGACGGCCGGCACGGAGCCGCCAGACCGACACCCAACCTCCTCCTCCGCCTCCTCCTCCTCCTCCTCCTCCTCCTCCCCCATCCTCCTCCTCCTCCATCCTCCTCCCCCATCCTCCTCCTCCTCCTCCTCCTCCTCCTCCTCCGCCTCCTAAGCCCAGGCGGCGGGCAGCGACGGGGCGGCGACGGGGCGGCGACGGGGCGGCGACGGGGCGGCAACGGCCGGCCACGGAGCCGCCAGGCCGACGCGCAAGCCCAGATCTTCGGGCCAGAAACGAGCGCGCCGAAGTGCAAGCGACGTGTGGGGAGCAAGCTCGACTGCAAGACACGGGCTGCGCAGCATGGGCGGCACGCGTGGACTGCACCACACAGACTGCGCCGCACAGATGGCGCCACGCAGGCTGCGCAGCGCGAGTGCTGCACCACAGACATAGGACAACGAACATTGCTGGACACGCTATGTTTTGAGTGCACGCTGGCTAACCCACCAACAACTATATCTAGAGAGAGAGAGAGAAACAACGACTGCAGATTTCGTAATGAAAGGGAGGGGGTCACAACCCTCCCCGCCGAGAAGTTTTAGACCCCCCAGACTATCCATGAAAGGGCGGCCCTTTGCCCAGACCCCCCCGAACCCTCCAAGACAGCTCAAATTAGACCCCCCCTCCGAATGTGCCCCCCCCCACTTTGTTATGGAATCCGGAGTAACCATACGCGCGAGAGAGAGAGAGAGAGAGACGCGATCGAGAGAGCGAGAGAGAGAGAGAGAGAGAACGAGAGAGACTGGCAGGGAGAGCGGATGCGAGGGCGGAAAGAAAGCGAGGGGAAGACTCGGCCGGTGGCGACGGAAACATGGGCGCGCGGCGGCTGGTGCAGCGATCCGCGCGCGCTTTCGCGCTGAAGAAATGGCGACGACGACGACGGCGACGACGGCGACGACGACGGCGGCGGCGACGACAAAGACGACGACGACGGCGACGACGACGACGACCACGACGGCGAAGGCGACGGCGCGCCTTCTCCGTGTTAACATCGCCCACGTCGATCAGCAGGAGCTCGCAGCCGATCTTGGGTGGGCGATGGGGAGGCAGGCAGAGCGCCACCGACAGAGGAGGGACGAAAGGGAGGAGGAGGAGGAGGAGGAGGAGGAGGAGGAGGCAAGAGCAGGAGGCAGGAGCAGGAGGAGGAGGAGGAGGAGGAGGCAGGAGCAGGGGAGGAGGAGGAGGGGTAGGAGGGGTAGGAGGAGGAGGAGGAGGAGGAGGAGGAGGAGGAGGAGGAGGAGGAGGAGGGAGGAGGAGGAGGAGGAGGAGGAGGAGGAGGGAGGAGGAGGAGTAAGGAGGAGGAGGAGTAAGGAGGAGGAAGGAGGAGGAGGAGGAGGAGGAGGAGGAGGAGTGAGGAGGAGGAGGAGGAGGAGGAGGAGGAGGAGGAGGAGGAGGATGAGGAGGAGGAGGAGGAGGAGGAGGAGGAGGAGGAGGAGGAGGAGGAGGAGAGGGGAGGAGGAGGGGAGGAGAGGAGCAGCCGTCAAGCATCCAGGCAGCCGCACGGGCCGGAGCCCTCTGCCTGGGCCCGCGGGCTGCCCTGGCAGGAGCTCGGCCCGCGCTCCAGGCCCAGGCGGCCGCGCGCAGCAGCCGCTCCCGGAGGGGGCCGGCGGGTCTGTGCGTGCGGCCCCCCGTTGAGCAGGGACCGACCGCCCGGGCATTCCTAAGAATCCCACCACGAAGTGTTCTCTTGGAACCCCCAAGATGTTCCAAGAACAAAAACCATGTTCTCAGAAGATCAGCCCGATGTGGTACAAACAAGACAGGCTCCGCCAGACATGTTCTGAGAACATGTCGTGGGAACCACTAAAGGTTCTCAGAACATTGTTTGGTGGGGCTACAGGCGAGCCAGGACGCTTCGCCACTGCTTGACCTCGCGCTCCGCCTCGCTTACAGCAGGGGCCCGGCCACAGGAAACCTCCCACAAGAGGAGGAGGATGAGGATGAGGATGAGGATGAGGAGGAGTAGGAGAAGGGATAGGAGGAGGAGGAGGAGGAGGAGGAGGAGGAGGCGGAGGAAGAGGAGTAAGGAGGAGGAGGAGGAATAGGAGGAGGAGGAGGAGGAGGAGAAACCAAATCCTGAGGGCCCAGGGCGTCCACTGTTGTGCGGCGCGGGCGCGTCGCGCTCTCCACCGCACACCCAGACCCGAGGAGCAGAGGTCACCCTGGAGGCAAGCGGGGTGTTCCTGGGCATGGGTCTCCACTGTACAGTCGGGGCGTTGACCTAAAGAACCCCAAAGACGGAACGAGGCCCCTTTTTCCCATACATTCAACCGCGCTTTCCCGTGGAAAACCTCCGGAACGCCCGAGGCAAACTTTGAAGCATTCCAGGAACACCGAGCCCCTCCCCAACGAAAAGGGTTCCTTCCTCAGCGCCCCGACTGCAAGACGTGACGCGAACCCGAAGGCGTCGCACGCTTCGCCTCGGGGCGGAGGCCTCGGAGCACTCGATCGCGGCGGCACCGAGAGGACCCCTTCCCCGGGGCCAGTTCTTCATCCCGAGCCGTTCTTGGACGGTCCCGAGGCCCGGCGAGGGCCCCTGGGGCGAGATGTCGGCGGCTCCAGGGCGAGATGTCGGGGAGCGGGTCAACAACGAACGGGGCGCGAACGAAGCTAATTGGCCGCAGCGGCACGTGCACGTGCGAGGGACAAACTGCCCCGAAATGAAACGCCAGAGGCTGGCGTAGACGGCTTGGCGGTGGGGACACCACGGCACGGCGGCGAATGGGCGACGAAATCTGAGGATACCCTCCGTCTTGATGTTTGTCAATGCGTTGGATCTCTGGGGATGCAGCACGGCCTCGGCATGGCTCCCCCAGCTGGCGCTGGCTGCGAGCCGTGCTCCACGCGCCTGACCGCCGACAACAAACACGCCGGCGGTCACTGGTGAGTCGGGTGTAGGCTCAGGTCGGGCATGTCCCCCTACAGGCGGATTTTGGACGAAAAATGAGAAATAGTCAAACAAGACTCCCAAATGGTAGAAAATAAAACATCGTCCCCTGACCATTCTTTGACTATTTTTGAATATTCCTCCTGAAGAGGGACGTGCCCGGCTTCAGGGTAGCCGTCCAGAGCATTCCGGCATGCCAAGATCTGTTGCACAAGCGTTAGAACCTCTCGCGTGGCGGTCGTGACAGATGAGGGTCCCTGGAACTTCAGGCACCTGTACTGCGCACCTGTACTGCGCCAGTGTGGAACCTTCGGTCGTCTAGGAGACTGGATAGAAGGAAGCGGGGGGAGCACCGCTCCCATCACGCCGACCACAGCACGGGCCATACCGATCAGGGCCGCCAGAACTTCCCAGGACCAAGGGTCCTCCTGAGCGTGCCTCTGCGACGCTTTTTATGGCAAACCGATCGGAACAACAACGTGTTTGCATCCTTTCCTGACGAGGGAGCTGGCCCACAACTTTCGTACTACAGTTGGGCTGCTGGAAGAAGGAACGCTGAATAAGGAACGAAGCCCCTTCTTGGCCCTGTAGGCGCCTCCGTGCCCCAGGAGGGCAAGAGGAACAGCACTTGAGGAACCTAAGGAACATCGAGCCCCCTCCGAACCCAAACTGTTCCTTTTTCCAGCGTCCTGACTGTACGGCGGGCAGGCGTGTGCTGGCCTCGTCACCGCGCTGCGCACCTCCGAGCTGCCAGGACCTCCGACGGAGCGCCCCCCGCGTACGGGTTTTCCGCGAACGCCCATGCTGCGAGGACGCCTGGTCGTGCAGTCAAGCTGGGCCTCGACGGTCAGGGTAGACGCCGACCAACTGGCGCACAAGGAATCTGACGCTACAACCCCTAGGTGCTCTGCTGCTTGAGGGGTTCTGGGGAGGCTCGGCCAGACTGGCCTTCGAAATCGGGCGACCAGTTCCTCCGTGCCTTTAGCCAGGCAAAGACAAGCGCATAGACCGCGCTCGCGAGATCACGAATCGGCGGTCTAGTGCACGACCCCATCGACGACGACATCAACAGCACGGTCGAGTATCGCGATTTCGTCGAGTGCTTGGCCATCGGGGACTAGAATCTGCAGATACACGAGGTCGGCTGGAGGCTGGAAGTGCAGAGCGGTGCGGGGAATAACCAAGCGGATCCAGAACAGGTGTTCGGAATCAGCCTCAACCGCTTCAACAAATATCTCAGCCTCGGCAGCCTCCTCCAGGGCATCTTTAACAAAGGGCACGGGCTCGGGCGGCCCGTCTGGGCACGCTATGCTTGGTTGGCGCTGCCATCCCGAACACGCGGCCCCTGCTGGCTAGCACCGTAGAATGAGACGGCTGCGTCGGGGAATTGAACTTACAATTGTTCCCCACATGTTTCGTGGGGTTATATTTTTCTTCCCTGCCGCGTCGCACCCGCGCCTCCTTCACACACAGACAGACACCTCCCTCTCTCCTCCCTCTGCCCCTCTTCCTCTTCCTCTTTCCCCTCACACACGCGCAACACACTCACGGCATGTGCATACCACATGTACGCCCCCCCTTTTCGCGGTATGTGCATACCACGTGTATCCTCATTCTCACACACGCTCCCCTCCTCGCGCACTCACTTGCGTGTACGCACACGCACGCACACACGGGCACCATGCAAGACTAGTATACGCCAAGCGTGGTCATTCCATGATGCACGCCAGACGCATTCAACGCATGCACGGGACCTAGATGCACCATACACGCCAGACGCATGCAACACATGCTAGGCACCCACATGGGACACGCGTCAACATACAGCCTTACACACGTTAAGACACGCGTCCACATACAGTCGCACACGCATCATGGCGTCTATGCGGGCCATTGCGTAGGGCACGGCAAGCGTGGCTTGTTCTCGACACCAGAAGGGGTGCGCAGGGGGTGGTCCCGCGCCTATGCGTGCCATGGCGCAGGGCATTTCAGGCGTGATACGTTCTCGGCACCAAAGGGGCTGCGCAGAAGGTGGTCCCTGGGCGCGGCGTCTATGCGGGCCATGGCGCTAGGCACGGCAGGCGTGGCACTTTCTCGGCACCAGAGGTGGTGCGCAGGGGGTGGTCTCTGAGCGCGTCGTCTATGCTGGCCATGGGGCACGGCACGGCAGGCGTGGCACTTTCTCGGCACCAGAGGTGGTGCGCAGAGGGGTGGTCCCTGAGCGTGGCGTCTATGCGGGCCATGGCGCAGGGCACGGCAGGCGTGGCGCTTGCTCGACACCAGAGAGGGTGCGCAGGGGGTGGTCCCTGATCGCGTCGTCTATGCGGGCCATGGCGCAGGGCATGGCAGGGGTGGCGCTTTCTCGACCCCAGAAGAGGTGCGCAAGGGGTGGTCCCTGATCGCGCTGTCTATGCGGGCCATGGCGCAGGGCACGGCAGGTGTGGCACTATCGCGACACCAGAGGGGGTGCGCAGGGGGTGGTCCCTGAGCGTCGTCCATGCTGGCCATGGCGCAACTTGATCGGCACTTTCTCGGCACCAGAGGTGGTGCGCAGGAGCCCATGGCACAACTCGCAACCGAGCGAGGTGCGGACCCAGCGTGCCGACCGTCGAGAAGGGGCGACGGACGGCGTAGACTTGAGGAGCCCCCAGCAAGTATTCCACCAACGATGTATACTACAGACCGGATGCACATACCCGGCGGCTGTTGGCCTTGCAGCCTGACATGCTCGGAGGAGCTATCGCTATTTTCTACGGGGAGGCGAGCGACGTCGCTGGTTGTCTCACCAGCGGTCTTGGAAGTAGCAGTGACGTTGGCAACATGTAGCAGGCATAATTCCAACATGTGGGGCTCCTCGGTAACGTAATTCCCAACCATCCTGTGCTGCTGGACCCTCGTTTTGAAGAGACAGCGCCCCCCGTGCCTTCCTCATCTCCTCATCCCTCCTCCGACCGTTTCGGCACACCCCTCACACGCTTCGGGGCTCCATAGGGACCTCCACTGTGCCCGCCACATGACTCTGTTTCGCCACACCCCTCACCCCTCAAACGCGCCGTGGCCCCATCGGGAACTCAAGCGAAGGCCCCAGAAGCAGCGCACGCATGGCACCACCGAACCCGTTTCGGCACACCTCTCACGTTTCGGAGCCCCATGAGGAGCTCAACCGACTGCCCCAGTTTCCACGTGCCCTTTTCGGCACACCCCTCACACCTGCCGTGGCCCCCATATGCTCCATCGAAAACGATTGGTACCCACAACGCGGTGCTCACAATTGCACATGGTTGGGCCTGTCGCCCGGATATTGGTTCCGCTTCCGTTACCTGGTGGCGCCGTTTTGTTTCCGTGTTCGAGCTTTGTTCTTTTGCCGTTTCCGATTCTGCAAGAGCAAAAATCGAAAACGAATAAAAACACCCCCTGATATCTCAAAACACTGAGGTCAGAGCACAGCGCAGACTCGTCTCAATGCGTTGCAACATCTTAACGGCTTCGTCTCGTTCCAGGAGTGGTGATCTGACACGGCTTTCAGTTGCCAGTGCACAGCAATCATGTTGACTCGCGGTGCTGAAGTCCCAAGAACGGTGTTCTGACACGATCTGAGATAACGCGGGCGCAACAGTCACTTCGATCTGCGATGTTGCAGACCCAGGAATGGTACGTCGGCATGGTTGGGGGCTATCAGACGGTTGTCTCGTAATTGAAGGGGCCCTGGGACACACAAATAAATATACAAAAATAAAAGGATTCCCTACATATTCCCGTATTGCTTGGGTTTTCGTCTTCCCCGCACTTCCCACATGTCCCCATATGTTCTGGGGAATCGACGATGAAGTACGTCCGTGTGTGTTTTCCCTCCTGGGCAATGGGCCCCTTCCCGCAGTGGAAAGTAATGCTGTGAAGGGGGAGTTTGGAGGAGGGGCTCATGGCAACATCGCTGACCTGTCTCGGCTCTGCCATGCTCTCCTCCTCCTCCTCCTCCTCCTCCTCCGCCTCCTCCTCCTCCCTTTCCTCCTTCCCCCTCGATTGCCTCCTCCTCCTCCTCCTTCACCCTCCTTCGCCTCCTTCTCCTCCTCCTCCTCTTTTTCCCCTCTCCTCTTCTCTATGTACTACTCCTCTTCTTCCTCCTCCTCCTCCTCCTCCTCCTCCTTCTACTCCCCCTCCTCCTTCTCCTCCTCCTGCCCTTACTCCTCTTCCTCCGCCTCCTCCTCCTCTCCCTCATCCTCCCCCTACTACTCGTCCTCCTCCTCCTCCTGCTATTCCTCCTCCTCCTCCTCCTCCTCGATTCCTTCCCTTATAAATATTTGCTCCCTGTCGCACCCGAAGGCCAGTTGTTAGGGCGGGCCGGGCGTTCCGCCTGAGGCTTCCTCACCATTTATGACCTTGAAGCTTCAATGGTGACCACTTTTACCTTGTGCAAGAGCTTCGCGGATTGAGGGCGAGTGGCTTTCAAAATGTGGCTCTCGCCTTAGCGCGGCGCACATTCGTTGTTCGAAATTGCAAGGGTTTCACGGATTGAAGGCGGTTCCTTTTCAAACTGTGGCTCTCGCCTTAGCGCGGCGCACATGTGTTGACAAATTCACGCGTTCCACGCATTCCCACCATCCAGGTAGCAGAAATGGTGTTATGGACGGATTGGGGATTATGCAGGTGCAACAGTTACGTTGATTTTCTGCGTTGAAGTCCTGGGGATGGCGTTCTGGCACGATTCAGGATCGTCAAGGCGCAACAGTCAGGTTGATCCGTGGCGTTGGAATCCCGAGAACAATGTTTTGGCATGCTTCAGGGTCTTCAACCGGGTGTCTTCCAACGAAGCAGTTCCATCAATGGAAATGAGGCGTTGCAAGGGCCTATGACGAGGAAGCTTGGAGGGAGGGTTTACTTCAAAATCTTTGATGACTCTTGGGTTTAGACTGGTCCTCCTCCTCCTCCTCCTCCTCCTCCTCTTGCTGCTCCTCCTCCTCCTCCTCCTCCTCCTCCTCCTCCTCCTCCTCCTCCTCCTCCTCTTCCTCCTCCTCCTCCTCCTTCTCCCCCCTCCCCCTCCTCCCCATCCTCCTCCTCCCCAGGCGACTCCTCTTGCTCATCCTCCAGGTCCCCGTGCTGCTGTCCTCCACTCTCTGCCCCTTTCCCCGGGCGGCGCGCCATTACCGGCTGAGGCACCCAGTCCGGCAGCCATTTGATCGACTTTGTGACGTAGCGGCCCACGTAGGCCTCTGCAAAACGTGCCACCTTCCTCCAACCTGCCCCTGGCCTGACCACCCCTCTCTTCCTCGTGCACCCCCTGGACCTCCGCCTCCTTCCCCTCCCTCTCCTCCTCCGACTCCCTGTCTCCTCCGACTCCTTCTATTCCTCCTCCCCTCCTGAACCTCCCTTCAAGCCCCCTCCTTCTCTCCATCCTTCCCCCCCTCCTCCTCCTCCTCCTCCTCCTCCTCCTCCTCCTCCTCCTCCTCCTCATCCTCCTTCTCCTCCTCCTCCTCCTCCTCCCCTTCCTCCTCCTCCTTCCTCCACTATCTTCTCTACTCCCTCATGCCGCCACCCTCCTCCTGCCTCTCTGCTCCTTCCTCCGCGCCCCTCCCCCTCCTCCCTCCTCGTTCCTTCCACCTACCTTCCGTCTCCTCCACTCCCCCTTTATTCCTTCTCATGCTCCCCCGCTGCCGCCTCCTCCTGTACATCCATCTCCTCACCCTCTTCCTTCTGTTGCTCCTGCACAATCTCCAATACCCTGCTCATCCCTCCCCATCGTCCTATTCATGCGTTCTCGCCGCTGTCCTGCTCCCGTTCCTAATGCTGGCCCTGTTGTTGCTCGTCCGCGTCCACCCGTTCGTCCTTCCATTGCATGGAAGCGATACAACCGATTGAGGGATAGCCCACCGAACCGTGCAGATCAACGATATTGCAGAAGGGGGACGGCGACACGCGTATGCCCCACAACGAATGGAATAATCATGGGTCATGGCGCAACCCGTGGTCTAGCCTGTAGCGCAACTATGGAACACGATCTGGCGCAATCCGTGGCGCGGCCAATAGCCTATAGAGCGGCTTGTGGCGCAACCTCCAGCGCAACCAGTGGCGCACCCGCTCAAGCTTCCTTTGGCGCACCTAGGCGGACGGAAGACGCAGTAGACTGCCATCTTAGCTTCTGCGGGGCCGCGCCCGATCGATGCTCGCCGTTTATTATGCTGCTAGGCGGTCGGGCCCAAGCGGCGAGCTGTCTTGATATTTCACTAAGGCGCCGCCACTCACATTCGCACTGCCACTCGCCTGGGCACAAATGTATGACCGGGCGGATGTAGGCACACACCATGTCACGAACTGGTTCTCTGCCGGTGCGGCTCGCCTCCGCCTTGACACACTCAGAGATTCGGCTGTGGGCAAACCTCCCTTCAGCAAACCTCCCATTAGTGAAAACGGCCTCGGACCGAAACCGACGGACCTGGACCGCAAAAATGACGGCCGCGACGCCCTCTCGCGAACCGGCAACGGCCAATTCCTCAATCGACGTGTCAGGGTAGGAGGTCTAGCCACCTCCGATAGATGCACGACCACCCGTCTTGCTGTGCTGCCCGACCACCCAGGCGAGTGGTACTCTCAAGGCTGCCTCTGGCGGCAGAGAGAAGTCGTTGCCGTTGAGCTTGAACTTGAGACTCGGCAGACTGCTGATGTCCGAGCAGGACCCGCCCATGTCCGCGAAGGCCTTCACGACCTCCGGCGGGGGGACGCGAGAGCGTGCATGTTGCCCCCCCCCCCCCCTCCCCAAAACGCGACGGGAACGGCCAGTACCGTGAGTCTGGCCTGGGCCATATAAGTTCTCCTGGTGACGCCAGGACTCGGCCAGCAAAATGACACCGCGGGTTAAGTCGGGCCTGTCCTCCTCCAGGGGGACTTTTGATGAAAAATGAGAAGTCAAAAAATACCCCATAATGGTCTAACAATGCTCAACAAATCTTCCCCTGACTCTCTTTTGACTGTTTTTGGATATTCCTCCTCCAGAGGGACATGCCCGACTGAAAACCAAGGGGACACACACACACCGCTCTGTGGGGGTACCCCTCAGGCAAGACGAGGCAGGACGCTGGCAGCAGCCCTGGTGGGGCCAGGGGATGCTGGATGGGTACGCCCGCGAGTCTCGCGAAGGAAACGCGAATGGGATCCTTCCCCCATCCCACTGTGGTCGTGGCTCAGTGGGCATGGCGTGGTCGCGGGCGCGGGGGCACCCCCCCGCTCGCCTTCCACCCTTTGGGTGTGGGGAAGTTCGTCGTCGTTGTCGTCGCCGTCCGTCGTCCCGTCGTCGTCGTCGTCGTCGTCGTCGTCGTCGTCGTCGTCGTTGTCTTCGTCAACGTCGTAATCGTCGTCGTCGTCGTCATCGTCGTCAATGTCGTCGTCGGCGTCATCGTAATAATAATAATCGTCGTCGTCGTCGGTGGCGGCGGCGGCGTCGGCGTCGGCGTCGGCGTCGGCGTCGGCGTCGGCATCGGCGTCGTCGTCGTCGCCGTGCGGTGCGCTGGAAGCGACGCGGTGCACGCAAGCCGCGCGGCGCACGGTCTGTGGTGCAGCCTGTACGGTGCAGGCTGCGTCGTGCAAGCCCTGCAGCCCAAGCTCCAGGTGTTGCGAAAGGTGCCCTTGGCCAAAGGTGCCCCCAGCTTGTCGCGCCGTCTTGGAGCCCCTGGGGCACTTCCTGGGCCTCGTGAGGGAGGCTCCGGAGGCCGTGAGGGCCTCCTTGGACATCCTGGGAGCACCTTGGGCCAGGGGCACTTCTAGCAACACCCGAAAGCCGACGCCGCGGCCGCCCACGCGGCGCCCGCGCGGCGCCCACGGGCAGCCACCGGCCGAGTCCTGCTCGGCACCCCCCGCGCGGCGCACGCGGCGCCCACGGGCGGGCACCCGGCGGAGAGCCTCGGCACGCCCCCCCCGGCCCAGGGGGGGGGGCGCTCACGGGGGGCGCCCGCGGGCGGCAGCGCGGCGGAGCCTCGGCGCCCGCCCCGTGCACGCCTCCGGTCGCCCGAGTCCGAGGCCCCACATTCTGTTGCCTGCCATGTTGGGCGTAGGCTAGGCTCATCGTTTCACACTTGTCTTGAGTTTGTCGCAGGGGGCCGTTTCATGTGTGTCCTGTTCGCGTATACCTGTACAGTCGCCGGCGCCATAGCTCGAAGCAGACTGCACATGACCGCCACGGCTGTTTTCGTGGAGCGTGGGTGGTAGAGGCGCATGTTTCATCTGCGGGGCGAGAGCGAACCTCTTCCGCTGAGAGCTAGGCGGGCTACGCACAGAGCTTCAATTAGCAGAGGCAGGGCGGAAGAAGGCGGGGCCTCACGCGGCCAGGAGGGGGCGAAGCCCAGGGATCGGGCGGTGCCGAAGTTGACGTGCAGGAAGTTCAAAGGCCCCACGTGCGAGGACTGCTTCGGGAAGGTGCTGGCGATGCGAGACCTCCAGGCGACGCCTGGCGGCGAACCCGTGTCTCCCTCGCACTTGCGCCAGCCAGGAGAGGTTCCGTGCATGCCAGGCGGTCTGCAGCCAAACGGACGCCAGGCCGAAGCCATACTCCAACGCGCTGCGATCCTGCCGCATGAACAGTCCATGCGCCGACGTGTTCTGGTGCACATCGGACACGCCGGCGTTGCACAGCTTGCGTTAAGTCGAGCCTGTCCCCCTACAGGCCGATTTTTGAGGAAATATGTGTATATATATATATATATATATATATATATGTGTGTATATGTATATAGATATATACAAAATAAACACCCTCAAATGCCCAAATATGCTCAAAACATCGTCCCCAGACTATGTTTTGACTATTTTTGAATTTTCCTCCTGTAGAGGGACAGGCAAACGCGCGTGAGCACCAGGCGCTGGTGAGCGCGTGCGATCCGCAACTCCTGCCAAGCGCGTCGCCGTGGCGGCCCCGGGGGACAGGCTGTCCCTTGCGCGAAGGGATCGCGTGTCGCGCCGCCCCGCGGGGCGAAACCCTGGGGTGGACACGCATCCATGCGTTCCCGACCGTATCCTTCCAGGCAATGCTGTTCACGCTCCCCCGACCTTGGAGGGAGGTGCAGCGCTCGCTTGCGGAGGGAGCCGCATCTGCACCCCTTCCCAGGGCGCTGTCCCCCACGTCGAGGCTGTGCGCGCGCACGCGTGCGCAATCTTCTCCAGTCGAGTTTGACTGGGGAGGACACGCGAGAGAACATGAGACCCTTCCGAGGGCCACGTTACCACAGGAAGGCAGGGCCCACGGGTCGCGACACACATGACAGGTCGACCTGGTAACCAATCTCTACCGTTATGTCGGGCGTGTTCCCCTACAAGGGAACTCTCTCGACGAAACATGAAAAACAATACCCCGAAAATACCCCCAAAAGGCAAACAAACATAATCAGAAGATAGTCCCCAGCGTATGTTTGGACTACTGTTTGATTATATTTGGGGTACTTTTTATTTTTCATCGAAAATCCCCCTGTAGGGGGACAGGCCTGACTTAACTCTTCCGCATACCTTCTTCCCGCAAGGGTGCCTCTCCTCCTGCCGCCTCCACCTCCGCCTCCGCCTCCGCCCCCTCCTCCCACTCTCCACGGGAGACCCCGAGCACCTGGCAGGAGGAGGCGGAGGCAGAGGAAAAGGCGAAGGAGGAGAAGGAGGCGGAGGAGGAGGAGGAGGAGGAGGAGGACCAGGAGGAGGAGGAGGAAAAGGAGGAGGAGGAGGAGGAGGAGGAGGCGGAGGAGGAGGAGGAAGGGGGGAGGAGGGGAGGAGGAGGGGGAGGAGGAGGAGAGGAGGAGGGCGGGGGAGGAGGGGAGGAGGAGGGGGGGGAGGAGGAGGAGGAGGAGGGGAAGGAGGAGGAGGAGGAGGAGGAGGAGGAGGAGGAGGAGGAGGAGGAGGAGGAGGAGGACGAGGACCCGAGGAGTATAACCCGCGAGCGCTGCAGGCGTGCGAGGCTCGGGCAGAGAGGGGGCGGGGGAAAACCCGGGGGCGAGACGCGCGCGCGCGTCTGCTCAAAGAGGCACGACCCCGGACCGCGGGCCTCCCGGATGAAGGACTGAGGGGCGCCGATGAGCGAGGTGCCTCTCGTGGGGGGCAGCCGCCGTCGAGGCGCGGCCCGCATCCGCCTCCCCCACTGGCCCACTGGTTTCGGCCTCGTCCCCTCCTCGTCTCTTCCTCTTCCAGGCCGAGCCGCCCTCCTCCCTCCTCTCGCCTCCGGCCTCCCACACCCTCCCTGCCTCTCCGCCCCCTGCAGCCTCCACCCCTCCTCCTGTCTCGTTCGAATTCTCATGCACTTCGAGGCATCGGGCGAGAGCGCGATTCCCACACACTTTGCAAGAAAACCCTGGGCGAGTGCGCAGCTCCTGAGAGGCGAGAGCGTTCTCCAGATTACATGTCGATGAAGTCCTGAGCAAGCGCACTTCCTGAGCAGCGAGGGCGCGGCGCCTGCGTACATTCTGGGGAAGCTGTATGCGGGAGCGCGATGCTGGAGTAAATTGCAAGGGGGGTTCTCGAGCGAGAGCTCGATCCAAAACAGGATGGGGAAGTCTCAGTCCAGGGGCCAGGGGCGCGGTGTGACCCACGTTCCCCCCGAAACAACGTGGGGCATTCAAATGAGAGACAGACTGCTGACCGGTGGAGAGGGACCAACACTAAGTAAGAGCGAGGGATCCGAATGGTCATTCACTGTCCCTGGGTGCGTGGCGGATTATCGATGTTGTTGTTTGTTGTTGATTGTTGATTGTTGATTGTTGAACAATATTTATTCTAAAGAATAATTATTGTTGGGCCCCCTGGTGCGCGCCGCCCCTGCGCCGCCTAGGCCGCAGCTACATTTTCATAATTTTCGTGAGGAAGCCTCAGAAAAGAAGGTGTGTACAGGATCCGGTTGTTTTGTTGTAATCCGCTTTCCCTTGCAAAAAACAGTAGAAAATGACATTTCTTGTTCTAATATAATCAAATTTCAAGAATCCCTTGCAAAAAATAAGGTAAAGTGGACATTCGCGCGCGCAAGACGAAATCCTTCCAAAACCTTAGTGTTCGCAGCGATTTTAACATAAAAACATCAAAAAACCAATGGTTTTTCAACAAAAAAATGTCAAAATCTCATCCCGCGCGCTCTTGCGGATTCGTAGGAAACCCAACACTTTTTAAACATTTCTGTCAAACGGGCTTTTGCGAGCAACTTTTTCGAACTTCTGCAACAACGGTTGCGCACCTGCCAGGGCCATCATCCCTGTCAAATAATACCATGCGGGACACATTCGTTTTTTCTTCGCGCGCGCACGCCGTCGTCGTCGGCCGCGGGGCCCTGAATAGTAGCCACGGTCGTCCGCATGCCACGAAGTGAAGTGTCCGAACGTCATAGGGCGGGAAGCTGGGTGTGGGTGGTGGCGAAGAGTCGTTTGGAAATTTGGTAGAGCTTGAACCGGCCCCCCCACAAAGTGGGGGTATTGCCCGCCTCCTATGAAAACCCTGGCACTGGTGAGAACGGAGTGTCCCCACGTGCTAGTAATTGTTGTTGTTGTTGTTGTTGTTGTTGTTGTTGTTGTTGTTGTTGTTGTTGTTGTTGTTGTTGTTGTTGTTTGTTGTCGTTCGTCCCACCGCAACCCGCCCCGCGACCCACACCGCGACCCAACCCGCGAACCCCGCGACCCACCCGCGACCCACCCGCGACTCACCCGACCCACCCCGCGACCCACCCCGCGACCCACCCCGCGACCCACCCCGCGACCCACCCCGCGACCCACCCGCGACCCACCCCGCGACCCACCCCGCGACCCGCCCGCGGCCCAACCCGCGACCCACCCGCGACCCACCCGCGACCCACCCGGGACCCACGAGACCCACCCGACGCGACCCACCCGCGACCCACCTTCGACCCACCCAACCACGTTCAAGGTACAAACCACCTTTGTTCGGCGCCTGCGGCGGGTTTTTTTTGCATTCCTTCCAGGTGGAGAGCCCGCGACCCACCCCGTGACCAACTCGCTACCAACCCGCGACCCAAACCACGTTCAGTGTACAAACTATTTTTTGTTGGCGCCTGCGGCGGGCTGCTTTTGCATTCCTTCCAGGTGGAGGTGGAGAGCCCGCGACCCACCCGCGACCTAAACCACGTTCACTGAACAAACCAATGCCGCACAAGCGCGGCGGCGGACTTTTGCATGCCGTCTGAGCCCGCAAGGACCTCTTCAAGCCCCGCGCATCCACACCAGCCCGTCCAGCAACTTTGCCCTGGCGACTTGCCTTGATCAGAGAAGGCGGGGAGCATAAAGTGGAGAAAAGGATTGCGTTGCAGTTATCTTGGGAAAGGAGGGGGAAGCAGGAGGAGTAAACAGGGGACGAGGAGAACGCGGAAGAAGAGAGGATGTAAGGATACTGTGGAGAAAGAAAAGGAGGAGGAGCAGGATGACGAGGAGGGGGAGGAAAGGGAGGAGGGGACGGAGGAGGACGAGGACGGGGAGGAGGGGGATGATGATGATGATGATGATGATGATGATGATGATGATGATGGACGACAATGGGAGGACGATGATGGAGGCCGATGAGGGGGAGGACGACAATGGGAGGACGATGATGAAAGGACGAGGGGGGAGAGGGAGGACGAGGAAAAAGAGGAGGAGGAGGAGGACGAGGAGGAGGATGACGATGACGATGAGGACGAGGACGAGGAGGAGGAGGAGGAGGAGGAGGAGGAGAAGAGCGCCATCGACAGGGAAGGTGGGGGCCATGAGGTCCGCCGGCTCGACGACGCCCGCGTCGCCCGCCCCCGCCCCCTCACTCTTATCCGCAATTGCGGGGTGCTACGTACTCTTCGGAAGTGGGCGTCCACCACCACCACCAACACAAACACTGTGCTGGGAGGACTCGGGGCGGAAGCGCGTGCTGAAGCGTCAGCGGCGCGTGCCGATTTTCCTCCGGCCCCTCCTTCTTCGGCAGCCTCCCTCCCGCGGCCCTGCGAGAGCCTGCACCGAGACCGCTGGACCGAGGAGGAGGAGCAGGAGGAGGAGGAGGAGGAGGAGGAGGAGGAGGGGGAGGAGGAGGAGGAGGAGGAGGAGGAGGAGGAGGAGGAAGAGGAGGAGGAGGAGGTGGAGGTCAGCATTGGTGAGGTGGAGGAGGAGGAGGAGGAGGAAGGCGGAGGAAGGAGGTAGAGGAGTAGGAGAAGGAGGAGGAGGAGGAGAAGAGGAGGAGGAGGGAGGAAGAGTGAGGAGGGAGGAGGGCAGGAGGGGGAGGTTAGCATGAGGAGGAGGGAAGGTGGAGGACGAGAAGGAGGAGCATGAGGAGGAGCATTGATGTATATGATGATGATGAGATGATGATGATGTTGTTGATGATGATGTGATGATGATGAGGAGGAGGAGGAGGAGGAGGAGGAGGAGGAGGAGGAGGAGGTAGGGTAAGAACAATGCCATGATGCGATCGGCTCAGGATGCGTCCCAAAATTCCTGGAGCAGCAGAGGTCGCACGGCACACCATGGGGCCTCCTGGAACCCCTTCGGAACCCAGGAAGTCCCAGAACGTCTCACCACCACGTCCTTTTCAGAGGCGGAGAAAACGGCACACACATAAACTGTTGGCGCTCCGCGCGACCTTCTTGTATCCGCGCTGGACCCCCCTCCCTGGCGCGCGGAGCGCGCCAGGGGCGGCGCCGGAGGCGCCGCCGTGGGCAGCCCCCGCGCGGACCAAAGAACTCCGCGCGGAGCGCCAAAAGTTTATGTTGATGGCGCTTCTCCTTCCTCGACTCCTGCTCCTCCCTGCCATCGCCCGCGAATCCCTTCCCCGGGCACTCCTCGGTCTCTTCTGCGCGGCTTTTTTCCGCTCGCTGCGAGAAGAACAGAGCACGCGCCCGAGCGATGCCGAGCCTCTCAGGGTCGGGCGTTGGTAGAACTGGGTTAAGTGGAACCGGGTTTAGTGATCTGTATCAGCGGCGCCCCCCCGTCCCATTTCCACTAACCGGAACTGCCGTCACCCGAAAAAGCACTAGCTATAGCAAACCTGGTTTATCACGTGATTCTGGCCAGTTCGAAGGCTCCGGGGCCCAACCACTAACCAGGTCCCCTTACCCGGGGTCCTGGCCATACCCGACAGGCGGAGGAGGAGGCATGGGAGGAGGAGGGGGATGAGGAGGAGGAGGATGAGGAGGAAGAGGAGGAGGAGGGAGGAGGAGGAGGAGGAGGAGGAGGAGGCAGGAGGAGGAGGAGGAGGAGGAGGAGGAGGAGGAGGACGGAGGAGGAGGAGGAGAGGAGGAGGGAGGCTTGGCCGAGGCCGCTCTGCGGCCCGCGGGCCGCCTGTGTCGAGCACTGCGCCGCAGCTCGGGTTGCAGCCGACGCTGTGCGTCTTCTCGCCGTTGCTCAGCTCCGCGGGCCCCCCCCCGCGGGGGCCGGGCGCCCCGGTGGGGCCTCGGTGGCCCCGGGGCACCGACGCGCCCGTGAGTCGGCGCGCCCTCCTGCTGGGCGAGAGGGGGTGGAGGAGGAGGAGGAGGAGGAGGAGGAGGAGGAGGAGGAGGAGGAGGAGCCCTGCGTAGAGAGGGGAACAATTGTATACACTTCTCGATCTGTGCGTGTCATCCTTGCGCAGGGGCCATGCTAATCTTCTCTGTATCGTTCCAATCTTAACGGATGATCCCCGAGGGGAATCCAGGAGGAGAAGGAGGAGGAGGAGGAGGAGGAGGAGGACCGTCGCGCAGTTGGATGGGGTTCGAGCTGATCAGCTCTCTGCTGCATGCGCCGTACCCACTCCTTCTTCTGGGGTGTGGGCCTCCTGCTCTTGGCGCAGGAGGAAGGCGTGCAGGGGCATAGGCGCCTGAGACTGCGGCGCTGACTTGAAAGTACTCCCTGGGTGCCTCCCGCTTCCGATGAGGCGCCACCGAGCACCGTCTCCTGGTCTGGCGAAGGCTTGGCTGCACTCGCTGGCCAGGAGACGGGGGCTGGATTCCGCAGACTTCCCGCATCTGGAGCAGCTGAGGATGGAGGTCCCCCCGGAGGACAGCCTCCGACACGAAGAGGCCGTGGCCGAGGGGGCGTGCGCGCAGCGAAGCTAATCAACAGCATGGCCGACGCACTGAGTGTCCTTCTCGGGCGCCGATCTCCCTCGGCAGTCCATACATATGAACCCGCCGACTCCCGCCTATGGGCCCTGCCCTCGCTTCGCTGCTGGCGAGAGGGGTCCGGTGACGGCGGGACAGAGCTGTGCTGCGCTGGATGCCAAACGCCCTGCACTGCTCTCGCTTCGATGGTCGGCGAGAGGCTGTGGGTAGGCGGGGGAAACGGGACGGCGGGGAGGAGGAGGAGGAGGAGGAGTAGGAGGAGGAGGAGGAGGCGGAGGAGGAGGGAGGAGGAGGGAGGAGGAGGAGGAGGAAGTGGTGGGGAGGGGAGAAGGAGGAGGAGGGAGAGGAGGGCTGACGAGGAGGAGGAAGAGGATGTGGGGAGGAGGAGGAGGATGGGGGGCGGGGGAGGGGAGGAGGAGGAGGGTGAGGAGGAGGAGGAGGTGGAGGAGGAGGAGGAGGGAGGAGGAGGAGGCGGAGGGGAGGAGGAGGACAGGAGGAGGAGGAGGAGGAGGAGGAGGAGGAGGAGGAGGAGGAGAGAGGAAAATTGGGGGGGGGAGGATGTGGAAAAGAAAGGAGGCAAGAGGGAGTACGGAGGGGAGGAGGAGGAGGTGAGTAGGAGGAGGAGGAGGAGGTGGAGGAACAATGGGGAGAGGAGGAGAGGAGGAGGAGGAGGAGGAGGATGATGGAGGAGGAAAAACTCTCTTGGAGCCGCAGGGTCCTATGGGAGGCCACTCCGAGCCGCCGGCTGGCTCCACGTCCGCGGGCAGCAGGGCCCAGCCGGGTCGAGTTCGGAAGGACGAGGAAGCTCCTCGTCCTCCTCGTCCTCCTCGTCGTCCCCCTTCTCCTCCTCCTCCTCCTCCCTCTCCCTTTCGCCCTCCTCCTCCTCCTTCCTCCTCATCCTCTCCTACTCCGCCTCGACCCTTTCCTCTCCTCCTCCTCCTCCCTCCTCCTCCTCCTCGTCGCCCTCCTCCTCCTCCCTCCTCCTCTCCCTCCGCCTCCTCATCCCCCTATTTCTCCTCCTCTCCTCTCGTTTCCTCCTCCTCCTCTGCTTTTCTCCTCCCCCCTTATCCTCCTCCTCCTCCTCTCCTCCTCAAGTTCCTCCCCGCCGTCCCTGCAGGCATGCAGCGAACGCACCCAGTGTGGCGGCGAGGCCGCAGCCGCGCTGTCTCAGCGTCCGTCATCACGAGGCCCCAGAAGACTTGGCCAGCGACGCTCATGCTGGTGAAGGCACTGCCGGGGGCGTTGTCGTTCCACACCTCGGCACCGACAGCGCGCGGCGAAGGGACTCGAGGACGTCGGCTGCGCCTCCCCTCCCGCTCCCCACCTCCTTCGGGAGGCGCATCGTTCAACCCATCCCCGTCCCCACTGGCACGGCCTCGGCTCCACTGGCCGAGGCACCCCCGTGGATTGGCATATATAGGCTGGCATATCGGCTGTTCCCCCTTCGGGCTTCGAGGGGCGCAGCCCCGACTGGGAGAGTGAGAGGGTGGGGCCGAGCTGCCACGGCCACGTGTGTGGGGGTTTGGATGGGAATAGGTTTGGACGAAACTGACTGGATTCGAGCTCCCTGGCGCGCTTCTGTAACGCCCACGCGGCGCAGCATTGACGGGGCCCCAGAAACACAAATACATGCACACTAATAAAAAGATTCCCCATACTTTCCCATATCTTCTGGGTTTCTGTCTTCCCCCCCCACTTCCCATATTTTCCCATATTTTCTGAGGAATCGAAGATGAATTGTGTCTGTGTTTTTTCCTCTCCTGAAACATGCCGCTCCACCTCCGTACCTCGACAGATTTAAGCCGAGCGCCATCTTCCCGTCGGCGTTCGCGGGCATGCACACCGAGAGATACCTTGGCGTTCACCGCCGATCACTGATCCGCAATCCCCGCGATCGCACTCGTAAAATCTGGGTGCTAATGCGCCTCGCGTGTCTATCAGCTGCGCAATCAACACAGCGACGAAGCTGTCTGAGTCGGTCGCCCGGTCGCCTGCACGTGATTCCTGGCGCAGCTGGACTTGCCTTGCGGGTGTAAGCTGGCTGGCTGGACAGAACGAGCGGATCGTACTAGTTCATGCAGACCTCCCAAATGGGGTGCGAGCGCATGGGGTCGGAAGATCGCTCCGCATCGCCGATGCATCGCCAACGCATCGGCGATGTAATGCGGGATGACCATCAATAAAAAAATGGGAGTAAAGCGGAAAGCCCTATGCCCGCGCCGCCCCCGGCGCCCGCCGGCGCGCGGCGGCGCCGCGGCGGCCGCGCGGACGCCGCCCCGCGAACCGCGGCCCGACCGACCGGCCGCGGCCGAACCCGCGCCCCGGGCGGCGGCCCCGGCCGCGCCGCGCGCGCGGCGCGCCGCGCGCCGCCCCCCGCCGACCCGCGGGGGCGCTCGCGCGCGGCCGCGCCCGCGCGCCCGCACGGCCCCCGCGCGCCCGCCGCCCGCCCCGCCCCCCGGCGCCCGGCGCCGCCGCGGCCGACTGACGCCGGCGGCGCCGCCGCCCGCCGCGCGCGAGCGAACGATTAAAACATCGTTGCTGGCTATTTCTGCATCTTCCCCGAAACTAACTGGAGGGGGGGGGGGGAAGGGGGGGGGGGGGTAAACGATTCAAAAACATAGTTGTCCAACCCGCGGCTGGTTTTTTCTGATCGTCATCCTGGGCGCCGCCGCGTGAACACGACCCCAGGTCATTTATTGAGCGTCATCCTCCATCATGTTGTGAGCCCCAGGGGGGGTCTGCATCTTCGCGGCGCACACCGAGGGCCCCGGCACTCCCGGCCAGGCAGTCTGAAGGCCGATGTGAGAAGCGACCTGTCGCGGCGGCCGGGAGGATGGCCGAGGCGCGGCGGCTGAGAGGCTGGCCGAGCCCATCGGCTCCCACAAGGGGCCCTCCCACAGCGCCCGAACCCGTCATCGACATTCCGCGAATGGCCTGTTCGGGATGGAGCCGGTAAGCAGCCATCAGGCGCGCGACCGTCCCAGACCCCCTGGTTCCTACACGATGTGTGGCGACGTCGGCGATGCATCGGCGACGTCTGCGTAGAGAGAATCGGGCTCCACATCGAGCCGTGGCGCCGATGCATCGGCGATGCGGCGTGATGCGCCGACCCCACCCACCCGGACCCAATCTGCTAAGCAGTAGATGGATGTGTTGGGCAACCGAGGTCGTAGTCTATGGCAAAAGCAAGAGCGGCTGGTTTGGGGGCTTCGGTTACCGATGGCGCAACCGTTCGGGGGCACAACCGACGGGCGGCTGAAAGCTTCGGCGGCAGCACAACGGCGCAACCAGTACCAGGCGAGTCTGGCTTCCGTGGGCTGGGCTGCAACGTATGCCGCAGCCCTAGCGAAGGCCGGGTTAAATTCTGGCGACAGGGGGCGAGAGACCTATGCATGGCGCAACAAGTTGCGCAGTATCCGACGGCGCAACGCTGAGGCGCCACATCTTGAGAAACCTGCAGTGCAAACTCCCGCAGCACAGCCTGTGTCGAAGCCAGTGTCGCATCGACCGGCGCGATTGGCGCAAGCTGTAGCACAAGCTGTTTTGCCACAGCCTACCTTGGCGCAGCTCAGATGTGAACTGTGGCTCTCACCCTGTGGCGCAACCTGGAGGAAGCGCGAGCTTCGATAAAGGGGGAACGCCGCGAGGTGGATGGACAGCAGCAGAACCAGGGCCCGCACTCCACTATGATGATGATGATGATGATGATGATGATGATGATGATGATGACGATGGGAACGATGACGATGATGCTGGTGCTGATGATGATGATGATGATGATGATGATGACGATGAACATTATAATGATAAGGATGATGCTGATGATGCTGATGTTGATGATGGTGATGATGATGATGATGATGATGATGACGAGAACGATGACGATGATGCTGGTGCTGATGATAATGATGATGATGATGACGACGATGATGATGATGATAATGATGATGAGCATGATAATCATAGTGATGATGATGTTGATGATGGTGTTGATGGTGGTGCAGATGCTGATGATGATGCTGATGATGATGACGATGCTGATGATGATGATGATGACGACGACGACGACGACGATGATGATGATGATGATGATGATGATGATGATGATGATGGTGATGGTGATGGTGATGGTGATGGTGATGATGGTAGTGATGATGATGCTGATGATGATGCTGTCTCCGGCTCGATTACGCACGGTCGGGGATGTATGCGTAGCGTGTTGCCGCGGCGGCCTCGGTGACACGGTAGGTCTTGTAAGTGGATAGCGTGTCGCTCCGCTCCGCGGGGCGGGAGGTCGGGGACGGCTCGGGACATTGACAGGAACGCCTGCCGAAGCGCGGTGGGCCAGAACTGGCGACGCGACACGCTAAGCCAAAATTCCTGACCGTACTTGCCCCTCCGCTGAACGGGCTGGCCCGCCCTGAGCGGCAAATGACCTTAACGCTACGCGGCAGAATGGGCAAGGCGGGCGGCGGGGGCTTGAACGCTACTGGTCGCGTCTTCGCCACCCTTGGCCGCCGACTAGCCGCGGGCGCCCGCTGTCGGTGGAGGCTCCTGGACAGCGTTGGAAGATTTGCGTGAGGCAACAGCAGAGGGAGTGGGGGAGGGGGCCGGAGGAGAGCAGAGGGAAGGAGGGAGGGCGGATCGGGGAGAGAGGGTGGGAAGGGAATAGATAGGTCGGCGCCCTCCGAGGGCCGTGAAACGGTGGTGCGGTCGCTCAGCCTCCACGCCCAGCTCCCCAGGAGGCTCCTCGAGGGAGTTTGTGGGAGGCCTCTTCCTCAAGCGGCCTCCCGCTCAGAGGGACTCCAGGACTCTTGAGGTGGCTCCTGCGGACCGCACAAAGATGCCGAGAGGCAGCTCTAAGACGTATCCTCCGTGGAGTCGTCCGACCAGTCCGTGCGAGGCATGCGTGGTAGGCGGCGACTGCCGGAGGCGCTCCCGAGCCCCTGCCAGCCGCACCCCTCCCCGCCGCTCCAGCCTCAAGAGGCTCGGGCCAAAAGAGCCGGAGTCGGCGGCGGAAAAGCGTCGGGTGGAGAACCTGAACGCCTGCATCCCGTAATTACCCCCCTGGACTCCGCACCACCGCCACCCCACCCCCACCCAACCCCAAGCCCCAGCCCACGCTCCTCCGCCCTGCGGCCAGCCGGAACGAGCAGGAAGACGTGGGCCGGGCGAAGGAGGGACAGAAGACAGAAGCGGGGGGGGAGTGGAGGGGGGCGCAAGCATCGCATCGCCTCTCTTCACCGTGCTGGCTGGCAGCAACGACCCCGTCCATCCCCCGCCAGAGAAGCTGGGGCAGCTTGGGCAGTCGTCAGAGGGAAACAACCGAAGCAGGAGACATACGGATCACCACCCTCCCCCGTTGCACAAAGCGAGGGAAGACAAGGCGATCAGGGAGATGGCAGAGGGGAGGGATGGGGGGGGCACTTGGCGACTGGAGGAGAGGCAGGGAAGGCGAGAGGTGGGAAGCGACAGCTGGACCACGGTGCGAGGGGGTGAAGAGGGCAATGCTGCGCAGGGCGCAGGGCACTGGACTCCGAGCTTGACCAAGAGCTCGTCGCCCTTCGGGACCCCGAGGCCGACGATCGCCTGCGTCGGAAGGCGCTGGCGCGCCCCCGCAGGGCACGAAGCAAAAACACGGCAACGAGCGTTTAAGGGCTTAACGATTTCTATCGCCCCTCGACTCGCGCTGGAGCAGCCACGACGTGCTCCAAAGTCCCCTGGATATCTCTGGACGTGTTAGAACAAGGAAAGGCGATACCGACACCACCGGGCGACGAGATGTGAGGAGCAAGGGGGGTCTCCCTCGTGGTGTGACCCCCCGTCTCGGTCGAGATCCCCCCAGCCTGCAGCTCGGGGAAGCATCGTGGACCTCCTCGCTGGAGGTGCCCCCCCTGGTGGTGTTGGTGTCGCGTCTCCCCCCTCCGGACCTGCCTGGATGCGCACGGACTTTCCTGCACCTGCCTCCACTCCGGCACTCGCCGACTCGACTCGCCACCTGGATCTGCACGGGCCTCTCCGGCTCGATGCCCACGAGTCGATTGGCGACGGGTCGTCAAGCCCTTCGGGCAGCGAGACCCTACGGGATGCTGCCCAGGCGCTGCCCTGGGCGCTCTTGCGCGCTCTTTGGGCCGTCTTGGGAGCTCTTTGGCCACTCGGAGCCGTCTTGGAGCGGCCTCGGGGCCTCTTGGAGCCTCGCGGGAGCCCCCTTGAGGCATGCTGGGGCATCTCGAGCCACCTTGGAGGTCACCTTTGGCTCTCCCAGAGGCGCTCTTGGAGTCATCGGAACCAGGGCCCCCCCACCCGGGAGGCCAAAATGTTGCCAAAACCTTGGAACGGCAAGCTCGTGTCGTGACGACCCCGGCGTTGGTTTCTGACACCGCGTGGATCGTTCAACCTTGAACGATCGGCGGCTTTTCGATCGCCCGATCGTTCCGTGTAGGCCGATTCTGAGCCACTGGCGGCGTTCAACCTTGAACGCCCGCGGCTGGGTCGCCGCTGGTCGACACGACGCGTAACCTGCCGTAGCATCGGCGCCGCGCGCGCTGGGCGGCCGCGCGCCAACCGGAGCGGCCGCGGCGGGTGCCGCTCGCCTCCGGCCCGCCGACTCGGGGATGGACAGACCCCCCTTTAGTAAAACGTGGTTTAGCGAAAACGACCTGAGGCCCAAACCTGGCGGGCGCAAGCCTGGAAAATAACGGCCACGGCGCCCTCTCGAGAACCGAAAACGGACAATTCACTAATCGACGTGTCACTGTTGGGGGTTCTGTCCACCCCCGACCGACGGGCACCCCTCGCTGCCGGCTGCGGCCGGCCCAGGGTCCACCACCACCGCCACAAGTTGCAGGGGGAGGGGGTCCTCCTCCGCCTCCTCCGCCTCCTCCTCCTCCTCCTCCTCCACCTCGTCGTCCTCCTCCTCGTCCTCCTCCTCCGCCTCCTCTTCCTCCTCCTCCGCCTCCTCCTCCTCCACCTCCACCTTGTCCTCGTCCTCGTCCTCCTCTTCCTCCTCCTCCTCCTCCTCCTCCACCTCCTCCTCCTCCTCCTCCACCTCCGCCTCCTCCTCCTCCTCTTCCTCCTCGTCCTCCACCTCCTCCCCCCTCCAATTCATGGTGGTGGTGGTGGTGGAAAACGGGCCCATCAAGGGGTGGAAACGAGAAGGAGAAGGCCTTCTCAGAGGGCGGCGAGGCTTCTCAGAAGGCCTCCGGCCTTCTGAGGGGCGCTCTCGGTCTTCGAGGAAAGGCTCCGAACACTCCTCGGAAGGCCGGGGAGCTTCCGAGCCCTCCGAGAAGGCCGGCCCCTTCTCGCCTCCCCCCCCTCGCCCGCCACCGAGGGACAGCCACGGGGGCAGCCATCGCGGAGGAATGCCTCGAGCTTCAGACTCCAGGATCGGCATGCCACATGCGTGTGTGCCGCGCGCGGGCGGCGGTTCCCCGAGGGGCCGTGGCAGGGCTTATCCTCTGCGGTTGCTGCCCTCCACCGCCGATGGCTCTTCCTCCTCCTCCTCCTCCGCCTCCTCTGCCTCCTCCCTCCTCCTCCTCCTCCTCCTCCTCCTCCTCCTCCTCCTCCTCCTCCTCCTCTTGTTCCGCCTTCTCCTCCTCTCATGCTGCTCTTGATGCGGAAGACAAAGTAGACCAGGAATGGCCCTGTGAAAGAGCAGGTGCCAGGGGCGCGCGGGGAGGAAGCCCGGCCGCAGCCGGAAGCAGTTGGCATCGCACCCCTCCGAATCCCACCTGCAGAGGGCCAGGTCCGCGCTTTCGCTTTCGCCATGGCACTCTCTCTCTCTCTCTCTCTTTCTCGCTCCCTCTATCTCATGCCGTGGACGCACAGCCTGGAAAAAGACGTGGACGGACCGTCTGGGCCCCCATCTTGGCGCCGTCTCACACCTCCTCCCTCTTCTCCTCCTCCTCCTCCTCCTCCGCCAACGTCTTCTTCTCTGCAGGAGAGGAACAAGGAGGAGGGTTGAGGGGCCGGGGAAGGGGCACAAGACAAGACAAGGGGCGGGGAAGGGGAAGCGAATGAGCAGGGGAGGGGAGGGAGAGGAGGTGGCGGCGGGCAACACACGGCAGACGACGGTCAAAGACGGTCAACGACGACGACGACGACGACGACGACGGTCAACGACGACGGCGACGACAGACGAACGGCGAACGACGACAGACGAACGGCGAACGGAGAACGGCGCCAGCGACGGCGACGGCGACGGCGACGACGGCGACGACGACGGCGACGTCGACGACGACGTCGGCGACGACACGCAGACGGGCGTGACGAGGGCGGCACGCCCCGCCGCCCCGGCCGCCCCAGCCTGGAAGTCGGCCTCGGCCAGCAGGGGCATCTCGGCGCTGTAGGCGAGGAGGAAGTCTTGGCCCTGCGCCCCGCGGAGCACGGGCAGGGAGACAGGGAGGGAGGGGGGAGGATGGGGACGAGGAGGAGGAGATGGGGGAGGAGATGGGGGAGGGAGGAGGAGGAGGAGGAGGGAGGGAGGAAGGAGGAGGAGGAGGAGAAGGAGGAGGAGATGGGGAGGAGGAGGAGGAGGAGGAGGAGAGGAGGAGGAGGAGGAGGTGGAGGAGGAGGAGGAGGAGGAGGAGGAGGACGAGGAGAAGGTGGAGGAAGAGGAGGAGGAGGAGGAAGAAGAAGAGGCGGAGGACCCCCCCGACGCGCCCGAAGCGAAGCGGAAGCGACGACGCGCGATGGGCACGGCGCCGGCTCGACCCCGCACGGCAGGCTCCTGCTTGGATGCAACGCGGGTCCGGGCTTCTGGCGGCGTGGGCAGTGCTCATGCCCTCGGCCCTCCCCGCTCTCGGAGGCCCCTTAAGGGGCCCCCCCCCTCCCCCACGCCACCAGGCACACGGCCGACGGGCTGCCATCGGCTACGCGCAGGAGTGACCCTGGGTAAGAATGGCCTCTGGTGGGCGGCTTTTGGGGGGCCGCCGGGGGAACACGCACACGCGTGCAAGACGCTACTGCCTCAGCGCGTTCGGCGATCGGGGAACCCAACGGGGCCCGCACCAACGGTCACTCCGGCGAAAGGTCACTCTGGCGTATAGCCGATGCCAGAGGGACCGCCAGGCGAGGCACAGAAAGGCCTGGCCCGGACCGAGGCGCGCCTCGGCCACGAAGAGGTTCCCCGATCCCCCAGACGGGGGGAGGGTCGGCCCGACGGCTCGAGCCACTCGTGGGCCCCAAGCGGTCCTCACTTCAATCGCCCCTAAATCGTGCAGCGGTTTGGGGGGCAGGAAAATCTCCAGGAGGACTCAAGTGGTCTTCTTGCTTCCTGGCCTCGGTGGCCTCAGGGGAATCGCGCTGGTTCACTGCCTGGCAGTGCCCCCCGTGGCGCGGCGGATCGTTGTGCTTACAGCCGGTGGCCGCGTGCGGCTGGTGGATTGGGCGCGGGGATGCCACGCCACTTTCTCTTCTCCTCCCTCTGGGCGCGAGTGCGCGGGGATAACCGCGCCTTTGGCTGGCGGTGGCAATGGTGCCCCTGTGCGGGTACTGGCGCGCCTGGCCGTGCTCTTGGGCCCTCGGGTTGCTGCTCGTGCTCCTCGTCGCCGCTGCCCTTCCTCGTCGCCTTCCTGGCTCCGTCCGTGCATTCTGGCGCTTTGGGTGGTGTTGGTGCTCCTCGTCGCCACGGCTCCTCGTCGCCACGGGCCCTCCTCGTCGCCACCGCCTCCCTGGGCCACTGCCGCTCCTGGGTTCCCGTTACCACTCGGCCGCGTGCGCGGCGCAGGCTGCTCGGCGTGTCTTGTTCGGTTGCCCGTGCAGCGTGGCGCAGGAGCCCCGGTGGCTGCCGTGCGTGGTCCTGTGGTCTGTGGCGCAACAGCCCTGCGGGAGACTGCTCTGCAGGCCCTGCGGGTGGCCAGTGCCGCAACAGTCCTGCGGGAGGCTGTTCGGCATGTCTTGTTCGGTTGCCCGTGCAGCGTGGTGCAGGGTCCCCAGGGGCTGCTGCGCGTGGTCCTGTGGTCTGTGGCGCAACAGCCCTGCGGGAGGCTGCTCTGCAGGCCCTGCCGGAGGCTGGTGCCGAAACAGTCCTGCGGGAGACTGCTCTGCTTGTCTTGTTCGGTTGCCCGCGCAGCGTGGCGCAGGGGCCCCGGCGGCTGCCGTGCGCGGTCCTGTGGTCTGTGGCGCAACAGCCCTGCGGGAGGCTGCTCTGCAGGCCCTGCGGGAGGCCAGTGCCGCAACAGTCCTGCGGGAGGCTGTTCGGCATGTCTTGTTCGGTTGCCCGTGCAGCGTGGCGCAGGGGTGCCCCAGTGGGGGGGCTGCCCTGCGTGGTCCTGTGGTCCGTGGCGCAACAGCCCTGCGGGAGGCTGCTCGGCAGGCCCTGCGGGAGACCAATGCCACCGGTCGTGCCGCACGGCTCTGCGTGTCTTTTCGGTCGCCCGTGCAGCGTGGCGCGGGTGCCCCTTGGGAGGCTGCCCTGCGTGGTCCCGTGGTCCGTGGCTCCGTGTGGCGCGACAGCCCTGCGGGAGGCTGTTCTGCAGGCCTTGCGGGGCAGCAGTGGTTTTGTGGTCTGTGGCGCAACAGCCCTGCGAGAGGCTGCTCTGCTTGCCCTGCGGGAGGCCAGTGCGGCGTTCCAGCGGAGAGCTGCTCGGCGTGTTTGTTCGGTTGCCCGTGCGGCGTGGCGCGGCAGCCCCAGGGGGGGCCCCCCCGCGTGGTCCTGTGGTCCGTGGTGCAACGGTCCTGTAGGAGGCTGCTCTGCAGGCCGTGGGCGCACTGGCCGAGGGTCGGTCTCAATTGCAGCCGAGCGGAGTCTAGGTTGATATTCTCGTGCACTCGCCACAGCTGCTCGGTTGCGCAGCATTGCCAGGTGTTCTGATTTCCCACGTTGGGCACCTGCCCGGGTGTTCCGGAGTACTTCGGGCTCGACCGTGACTGTTTGATCTGCGCCCCGCACGCCCCCTTCTGATTCACCGCGCGTCTCCAACGTGATGTCTTTTGCTTGCGAGGAGGTGTGTGCCTTCGTGCGTGCCCTGCCGGAAGGGGCGCTCTGCAAGGCCACTTTCGATGCAGCCGTCGAGTGGTGCACCTTCGTGGCGTCGATCGACCCAACACCGAAGGCGAGGCATGATCTGTTCTGGTACCTGTCCATTGGTCGGCTGGTGGCAGAAAAGATGGGATCTGTTTCCCCGCTTGACTATGCCGACTCGTCCATGCGAGGCATGATCGGGGACGTTATTAAAGCGCAGGAGGCGCCGTACACAGCAGAGGCGGAATCAGCGGAGTTCAAGAGCTGGATTGTCCAGCCTGCGCAGGTCACCTTCGCACTCCGGTTGCAGGCGAAATGCGCCGCAGCGGAGCCGCCAGCTCCGACTCCAGAGGCGACCTTGGCAGACACCATGAAGGAGTACTTGGAGGCGCAGGCTGCGAGCCACAAGCGCTCGGTCAAGGCGCTTTCTTTCGACTTGAAGGCGCGGCTCCAGGAGCTGAAGATGGAGGCCTTCCCCAAGGACGGCCTCCCGTCGGAGGAGAACCTCGCTGTCTTCGAAGCGGCTGGCCGCGTGGCCAAGGAGAAAGGTCGGCTGTACGTCGGCAGCGCCGACGGCGAGGACCTCCAGAGGAACTTCCGACCCTCGTGGTCGAGGGTTCCTCGCGTCGACGCGCCAGTTGGCGAGGGCTCGGTGGCCGACCGCCGTCGCCAGATGGCGGAGTTCAAACGGGCGCGCGCGGCCACTGAGCTTGACTACCCTGGGTATTCGACGTTCCACGCCCACGTGATGGACTGGGGCGTCAAGCTCATTTTGATGAAAGTCGCGACTCCCTGGGAGATTCTTGGCTACACGATGCTGCTGACCAAAGTGGTCGAGGAGCATGGGGGGGTCCGCGCGGCGTACCAGTATGACATTCTGGCGCGCACGTACATGGCCAAAGGCCTCGAGAACGGCGATCCTGAGTGGAACGTTTACTTCTCGAAGCTGCACCAGGACACCTTGCGGGAGGCCAAGGACAAGGTCCACGGCCGCGCCTCCGACGCAAGCCCGGCAAGGCAGGCGGCAAGGGTGGCAAGCCCGGCAAGGCTGACTGGAAGGGCCACGAGTCCGCGCAGAGGAGCAGTTCCAAGAGGTCGTTGTCTCCCGCAGTGCCGCCGCGCTCGCGCAGCCCGTGGGGGCGCAAGCAGGGCAGCTGGCAGCAGAGTGGCTGGCAGCAGGGCGGCTGGTCGAGGAAGAAGTGAGGCGGGCCTAGCCGCCAGAGCAGTCGCAGTGGCTCTAGTGCAGCTTCCTCCCGTTTTGATGGAGGTTTGTGCGGCACGCCTGAATGCGATGCAGGCCGCGTTTCTGGCGGACCCGGCGCAGGCGCACATTGTGTTGGCGAATCAACCGCACCTGCAGGCGGCCGCGTTTTGATCGGCCAGGCGGGGGCAAGCACGTTTCACTCGGAATATCCCGACTCCCTGGCCGCGGCCAGGCTACGGGGTGCTGTGCCTAGCTTTCTGCAGAATCCAGCAGTTGCAAGCTTCGGCCCATTGGATCATTTAGAGTGGGCTCTGCAATTGCCTGCGGGCGACGGTCACCCAGAGGTGCCGGAGTCCATCGCTGCCTCTTTCTCTTCCGCCCTCAGCCTTGACGGGCAACTGCTGGCGCAGGCTCGGGCCAGCAGTCTCGCGCGCTGGCGTGAGCGCAAGCGTGTGCTGGACCCACTTTGGGCGCGTGAGTTTGGGCTGCTGCCCGCGCACGTCCAGAGGGTACTCGGTCCGAAGAAAAATTTGCTTGTGCTCAGCGAGATGCTCGAGGCCATTGCGTGGCCCGACGCTCGTCTCGCAGCGAATCTTCGGAATGGATTCCCGCTTCTTGGCGAGATTCCGCGCAGTGGCGTGCTTCCGCGAGTCCCGTTTGAGGAGTGCTCCCAGTCGGCGGCGAGTTTGCGCGCGCAGGCTGATGCTTTAAACGCAGAGACGCTCTGCCGTGTTCGGCGGCCAGCGGGTCTGGAGGACTCGATCCGAGCGCTCTTTGAAACAAAATGCGAGCAGGAGGCCAGCGACGGCCATGCGAGGTGGCGATCTTTGCCTGTCCTCACTGCGCGGTTTCCAGCCGACGAGGGCTGGAAAGGTCACTCCCGCAAAGTGCGGTGCATCGACGATTTTTCGGCATTCTTTATAAATGCCGCCGCGTCTGTGGGTGAAACCATCCAACAGGACACGCTCGACCGTTTCTTGGCAGTCCTTGGCGCGGTTTTCGAAGCAGGACCCGGCGGAGCCGCGATACGAAAGGAGGACTTCGTTAGTGCTTTCAAGACGCTCCCGCTTGCTAGTTCCCATCTCCAGTTCGCGGTGGTGACGTGGGACTCGGCCGAGAGCCGCGGGCTGGGGCTGCAACTTCTGGCCTGTCCTTTCGGCGCGGTGGCTTCCGTCTACAATTGGGGGCGCTTCGGAGCGGC